GGCTGCAAATTTATACCTATACTCGGCACTTAGGGCCATTGAGCAGTGAGGAATCTTTTTCCTGCCATCACCTAATGCGACGCGGGACCATGGTTTATACGGTCTCATCCGAAGGACCGGTCTCCACGTCCCGCAGTAGATTCGAACCAGCGACGTAAGGATCAGTTCTTTACTCCGCGACTCTAGAGCAAACGCTCTAACCACTGCGCCACATGAGCGACCAATATCTTGTGAATAAGTAATATAATAGAAAATTGAAGAAAAAACCTTTTTGGTCCATAATGATATATATTTATAACAACATAGCCTTGTTTGGTAATGACGGTTTATAATGAGGAACAAGACATAATTATGCATCTCCTTCAAAACAAATTAAGGCCTTTAATAATTGACAAATAAAATTATATATAATTACATCGATGATTTGTACAAAACATTATTCCAACGGGTAGGTAGAAAAACAACAACTTTTATGAATATACCACCAAGGACGTCCAAAGCAGGCGCTAACGATTCACCCTAGCAACAATTATCACCTCTGGATAATGGCGAACGTTTTGAGAAAAATATCAGTATCTGCTATACTCGGGTAAAGATGTCAGAATTTCTGTCATCCTCCGTCACAGAAAATAACAACAGACGCCCCAAAAGAGTACGGCCTCGCAGTACCTCTCTTTTCTTGACAATGTCCAACTCCAGTCAGGCGGAATGTCGACTGACCTTTTCCAGTAAGTAACTGAATGTGTGATTTTTGCTGCTTCTTTTAACGTTCTTAACGTTAATCAAATATAGACATGCAGATACCAAAATCGCAAAAAGGCTTCGTGACATTTTTCATGATTTTTAATTCGAGATGATCATAATTTCATCCTAGTATATTGATCAGAAGCAATATCGGTAGTTTATCCTCGAATAATGTCGGGAGATATTCCAAGTAGATTTGCGCACGTGTGTCTGAGTGTCTAAAATACGTCTTTGACACCATATGGAAAGAAGATCGTTTGGCTTTTCAACTCTAAACTTTTTTCAGAGACGCTAGAAGCCTTAAGAAAGAGGCACAACTTTCGATTTCGGTGCCACAGAATCAAAGCAATGAGTTAGCAATTAGTTGAATCCAAAATTTTGCAAAATTATGTCCCTCGGTCGCCATCTTTGGGGGAAACCCATGGAATCCTCACAGTAGCCTTTGTAGTTTTCTAGTTTATAACTGTCATTTGACTGAAAAAAAAATCTTTACCTCTTTTGTATGGATTGCCCCAGGATGGGGCTACTCATACATTGAAATAAAAAAAATTTAAATACAATAGATTTATATGAGCATGCAAATATGTTTGGTAGCATTAAGAGGAGAAAAGTCGTTTCTTCCCCTTTTCACCATTGGGTTGATCCTGCAAAGGGACACAACTATTGCAAAGTGTGGATTGGACTATACGGTTGACGTTAAACCAATTCAGGTTTGGTCTTTTCAGGGTCACTGTTATCGATATGTAGTAGAAAAGTAAAAAACCAACTGGTGTAAAAATATAAATCAAGCCTGAAATGTATTATCAATAAATGTTTCTTAGTATATGAATGTAATGTTGAAAAATGGTTTCCATGCAATAATGCATCGTGAGAAAGAATTCCTCATGTAACTCTCAATATTGTAAATGTCTGATGCATTAGTTTGATACAACTGAAACAAATGTCAAGAAACAAAACGCGATGTTAGAGAATTCTTGCCTGAAACTAGTCCAGAGTTAGCTCAAACCTCTGAACATTGTACAATAAAGAGTTCTAATTCCAGGATAGTTTTATGTAGTTAGTTAGAGTGATCTGCCCTTAGTAAATCGAGATCTGCAGGGAATGACAAAATCTGTATTAGACTTTAGTATAAATGCATTAATCCAAGGTTAGTAATTGTAATTGAAAACATTATTTTGTATGTATTTTCTATTTGTAAGTAAATAACGTTACCACTGATTTCTGTTCACTAGTGCATTGTACATCATTGTCTTTGAACATTTTTCCTGTACTGTGGTGTCCTACATGTCTATGTTGAAAATGCACTAGGTAAACTAAATATGTTACCTTCATATCATACAAGTTTCCCAAAATTAAAAAAAAACATTATTCTTTAAATTTGTGATACGTTTTGAATACCCCTTTCAATTTTTTTTTTTAATTTTTCATTGAGTAATGTTGAGTTGTTAAACCTGTATCAACAATGGTCGTCTATATAAACAGTTTTAAACCAATTATAATATAAGAGATCATCAGGAGTGGATCCAGTATTTTGTGTAAATAAGATTATAAATGAATGTGCTGTATTCGAAAAGTTAAAGACATGAGTGAGGTGTACACGGATCACTCATTTTTCAGCACGTACTTTTGTGGTATCCTTGTAGTGGGAGTTACGTATACGCCAGCTGCTTAATGGATGCAAACATGTATTTTATCCTCAAATGAATATATATGTACATAAAAGCTCATTCCTGCCTATTTCTACCAAAAGCTTTTGCTTAACTTTAATGTCTAGAAATTACACATGGCGGTTGACCACGATATTTATTTTACAAATAAAAATGCAACCAGATTATTTACAAGGCCAAAGGAAAACACTTTCCTGAGGTCCATTTAATGCGAACTTTTTTAAAATTGCTTAATATACACTTGTATGTAATACTATTACATAGACAAATTAAAAAAATAAATAAATAAACTAAGATATTCGAGAAGAATAAGTAGTTAAGAGTAGTGTTCACGTAACCCATTTGCTACGTGTATTTTCGTGGCAAGGTGGACCTTCATGAATGTCACAATTGAAAACAGTATCCTAATAAGAAGGTCTTACAGGTTCTTTGTTAACACTTCTTTATATCAATTAGTATTTGATATTTCATAGTGTTAATACAAGTTATTGTAGATGTTCGTTTTAGAACGCATCAACGCACTTTTCTGTTCAGTGCAAAGAAATATTTTTCTTTCATATCGAATTTTTTTTAAATAAAGAATTAAAAATAATCAACAGACAGAATGAATTACAGTAAAGCACGATTATACCAAATAGACTGAAGTAAATATATTCCAAAAACGAATCTATTTGAATGATTTTGTTACTTAGAAAATTTAAAATGACAAAATTTTACCAAAATCAATAACATCAAAAGGTACGACTTTTCAACACTTTACACAATCATTCCCCACGATTATTAAAATCCAGGTTTTTTTGACATCAGAGACGGCTGCTTTTTTCCAATAAGAATGGAACTCGTAAATTTACTTACCTTCTCACTGGTCATTTACAAAATTATATTGTTAAAACATTCTGATTGTACACACAAGTACTCTTGATATTAAAAAGATGCTTGAGTTTCTGATTGACAATATCTATATGGGTTTTGGAAATTAGGTCTTCCAAGAATCTGTCAGAATTTCCATGGGTACCAATTGTGCCCCGCGATAATCAGATGTATTTTTGTATTCATATGAAACAGAATTTATTCAAAAACCTGTTATGAGCAGAAGAAAACACTTCCTGGTATTCAACTCGACATTTAGATATATAGACGACGTATTTTCAATTAACAATAGTTACTTCCATTCATATGTAGATATATCCCAGTGAACTTGAAAGAAAAGATACCACGTAGTCTGTCACAACTGTTTCATATTTGGATATTTTACAAGAAAAAGACGTTAATGGTAACCTAAAAACAAAACTATTTGAAAGACGTGATGACTTCAACTTTTCTATCGTCAGTTTCCCTTACTTTGTAGCAGTATACCCTTATCACCTGCAAATGGGTTTTGTGTCTTTCAGTTCATTCGATATGCAAAAGCATGCTCTACGTTACAAACAATTCCTAAAATGAGGCAAGCTGTTGACAAACAAGTTGATGAAACAAGAATATCAACAGTCTCGTTTGAAGTCATCATTTCGAAAGTTCTACGGTCGCTAAAATGACCTTAAATTGTCAGAAAAATACAATCTATCATTAAGTCGAGTGCTGGCTGACGTTTTTCATACTAGTTGTTAGGCAATTATTTACACATAGAATTGTCTACGGATTTTTCCGTTTTCCCGATCATGACAAGGAGCACACGGCAGGTATGACCGGTCGGCAGGGGATGCTAACTCCTAAATGGCACCTGATCCCACCTCTGACTTTTTTAGAGGCCAATGCTTGCTCTGCTCCTGATTTGCGTTTTTTGATGGGCTTTTGAGCTTGATCACTGTTCGTTTTCTCCATATTTGATTATAAAAGAGCTGGTTCCATATTGGCTTATATTTCTTGGGCACATGTTTTTGCAACCAGGCCCTACTGCAAACAGATTGGTTCATTTGTTAATTGAAGATTTATGATCTAATGTTTATGTATCTGTACGCAAGATAAAAGAATATCAGTACTTTTTAGGGGAAAATTCGGCAGGTGCTTGACTTATGTTTATTTCATTAAATAAATATATTTTTCTACTTTGGTTTATCTCTTTGAGGAGGTAATATATTAAATAAACAAATTAATTTTTCTTTAATTCCTAAAATAAAATAATATGAAATTATTCATATATTTTTTTCTACGACGCATTTATTACATCATTTGCGAATCTTATTAAAATGTGTTTATCATTTGATGATAAAGGTGATAATTGTTTGTCCAAGTATCGATATTGTACAAGAATATTTGCCAAGCCTGAAGTATGATAATTGCCGCTAGAATATAGTTGCTCATTATTGTGTTTCCATAGTAATGTGATTTACGCAACGAACAAGTAAATAAGTGATAGACAATTTTTGAAAGTATATTTATCATGAATTGTTGTTATATATGCATTATGCAAATTACAACATGATGGCAAACACCCGCAAAGTCAGCTTTCATACTAAACGTAAGAATTTCCAAGTTGGAAAAAGAATATGGAAGTTATTTGAAAAAGAAACCTTTACCTTTAGCTGCAAATATAATAGAAAGAAATAAAGTTATATGTGAAGTAAGTGGAAAATAAAACTTTTTTTACAGCTCGAAGTGAAAAGTGCAGTGACAGATTCCTGCATTGCCTATCTCAAGTGCCATGTGGTTCCCTGATAGCATGGATAATACTGCTTGTTGGACTTGGTGGACTAACGGGCGGGCTTTTGATTGGTGCCCAAAAGACACGAGACATGCTGGCTAATGATGAGTTGTGAGTTTTCAATTTTTATACCGAAATAAAAAAAGCATTTTAAAGCTTACCTTAAGTAACAAAATGTACATCAATAGATATGAGATCCAGTGATATCTTTATCGTTTTCAATTTTAATTCCCATTTTTTTAAATTCATATCTGAAAATAACGTCTTTTCAGCTTGTGGTTTATTGAATACACCCTTATTGGTGTGGTGGTCAGTATGTTTGTAATCGGTACGCTCCTTCTCTGTGTCGGCCATATTTCCACCGAACCCACAAGCCGCCATGTTTTCCAGAGCACTAAAAAGAACATATGTGCTCAGGGGCTCAATATATTCGTAAGTACTCTTATTCATACAAGTTATGGAATAGATAGTTGTACAGTTTTTGGTTTATTTGTTTCCGTAGCAGGCAATATTCAACCTGTTTTCACTAAAGTTATTAATGTTTATCTTTTATATTGCTTGTTTTGAAACATTATTATACACTGAAAATATTTATTTGGGGGGTTAGAGTAATATTTTCCAAACATTTCTTGATTTTGTTCCTTGAATCTGTTGTTGCAGATAAACACACAGGTAACAAAACATTTCACTAGCAGTCAGAAGTTGCGTATTTACTAAATGATTATCTATCTAATATACTATTGTATTATTTTAGATATATGATGCTATATTATTATTTATGATATCTACATGTACTGTACGCATTTTAATCAAGATTTAACGAGTATTATAGAAATTTATATCTTACAATAATAAAGTATTTACAGAGAGAAGACAATTTTATTCATTTATTTGAAGAGTTTAAACATCTTCTAGAACTCTTTTTTTTTCTCGTAGTAAAAACGAAACCCATTGTTTTTTGATCACCTACAGTCCCCCTAAAAATTCCGCCAAATAACTAGAAACTTGACTTCATTTGTGCGTTTTTCGTCTTTTACAATCCATGAATCCATTCAAGTCCTGTGTAAGACCTAGTGCGTTTGTGCCCTGATATCATAATAGCACTGTGACTCTAAGGATCTTGTGATATCTCTACAGCTGATGATATTCTGTTACATCCTGGGCTTTTCTTGGATGGTGGCGTCGGTCGTCCTGGCCGTGCCCGTCTACCTCCTATCCCTCCTGTACTTTGTAGATTTCACAACCACTCAAGCCGACGGCAAACTCGTCAAGTGCATCAATCTAGTCCATTATGGTAATTTATAAAATGATCATGCTTAAAAAAGTGGTATTACAGACAAATAAAATATGCATTTAAAATTGTTTATCTACATCGATATATATTAATTATATAAATATAAAATATTGAATTTAAATACTGAATTCATTTAATCCTTGCTTTTTTATCCAGGCTTGGAGAAACAAGAATTTTGCGGCGCTGACTTTCAGAATTTTGAAAGAGAGGTAGGTTTAACATCATGTTAAATGAGTATCAAATTAAATGTTATCTTTTAAAATATATACCGTTCTATTAAAAGACATATAAACCTTTATACACGGCTGGAGTTTAAAACACTTGTGATTTTTTGCAGGGAAAACAACTAATCGTCAGCTATATTGCAGCACTAGTTTCATCTATTTTGATAGCTATAAGCTTGGTGAGTATATATACAGTCATAACAAACTGTTTTATGCTTTCTACTACTCACATGAAATGTCAGCTAAAACATTATATATTTAAACATTTGCAAAATGATATTTTAAGTCTCTTAGTTTGAATGTAGACTTGAACGCTACTTGCTAGCATATAAAAGTCTGAAAAATTATGAAACATCTTAAAATTATGTAACACCTACACCGAGGTTCTTGAAAGCATGTCTTATTTCAGTAGATTTTATATTCAGCACTTGTACTTTTCGTTTATTTTCTTTTTATGCGTAACTTTCACTTTCACTTTGCTTTGCCTTGTGTTTGTTTAGCTTCGAAATGATAACATTTGCTAATATTCCTCCTCATTACTAACAGTTCGTATGGAGAAGGTGACAGTCTACATTAAAATAGAGCAATATCTTGAATACATGTGCCAGGTTTGTTAAAAATAAATGGTTATTATATGGCGTCAACAAGTGTTGGGTTCCCTTGCCATTGATATAGTAATTAAGCGTGAGGCACGCATGAAAAAAGCACCTACATGTATTAATTGTTCATTATGAAAGCACAGGAAAATCATTTTGAATTTGCAACATTTTGTTGCAAATTTAAGTCGAAGTGGTGTGCAACCTTAAGCACTTGTAATGCGACTAAACGAGAATATTATGTTTGAAAGCAGAAAGCTAGAAGACTCTACGCGTGCGAGCTTTTTTCTATCGTTAATTTTAGTTGATTATGGTAAAACAAAAGTATTCAAGTTGATGATTTATAAACATTTTTTATAGTGCGAGTCATTATCGGATAGAAGCTGGGAATATTTTTATTTCGCACTCAAATATATCTTTCCAATATTTACTTAAAAAAGTAATGATAAACATTCCGTAGATTAACAGCTAAGTAGCTTTTTTTTTTAATTCAATGAACAGTTTATAAAATAGTTAAAGTAATTTCTATTGAAAGCCTAAGTGTAGGATAAGCAATTTGTTGATAAACATTTCGTTACACTATAAATAACTTCATAATTTATTAGGAAATTGAATAAAAAGTCTGTCTCAGTTTTATTTTAAGCTTAGAAATCTAAGACGTTACTGTTGAAGTTGTTTGTCAGTTCATATATATATAAATAGTACCAAAAAACTTTTTTTTTTTCAAAATCAGACTGCATGTATCCTTATTTTTGTTGTGTGTGTGCCCGTTTCACTTATTTTGATGAAAATTCTTTTTATTAGTTAATTTTTATTTTGATATCCATCATTGGTCATTCTCGTGTAAACTTAAGTCTTTGTTTCTCTTATCCTGTACATTTCTCATATCCTGTACGTTCTCACAGAAGGGCACTCATCCAATATTCTGATTTTGTTGGATTTTATATTCCAGATCCACTTTATGATTGCCATCAGCGCAAATCTTGCCCACCTTCGGAATTCTCGCGTTGCTACACTCAATGCCTATGATGATGACATGGCCAACTCAAAGCTTGTCGCAGACACCACCATGTAAGCAAACAACAAGAGTTTACATGACTATAAACGAGGCAGCTGTGACATCATCAGGTGGATGGTTTAATAAAGAAAATTTATTTACTGCTGAGGAATTGCAAATAGAAGACATATTTTTCAAAATGAGATTAAAAATGTACCCCATGATATTACATCATTTCGATTATTATAGCTGTTATACTGGGGTATTAACAGTAATATTGCCTGCTACGAAAACATTAAGAAACCAAGACACCTTGATGCTAAATGAAAAAGACACAGCCTTAAGAAGCACAGAGGAAATAAGGGCAGCAGCAACATTTCCTCTTTTTTTATATGTATATTTTTGAAACATTCGCTTTAAATGGAATTGTGCAATACATAGTTTCATATATATATATATATATATATATATATAATTATGTATCTAAGAAAAATTAGATTGTTGTTGTAAAATTTGCTTAGAAGGATATTTGTATCAGTAAACAATAATAGCAAATGGCATTACATAATTAGCTTTACATTAATACTTACGGTTTAGAACTCATGCAAAGGACTCGAAATCGGGATTCTTCAGGGTTTAAAGAAGAAAAGCAAGGGGGCCAATGATATTTTAAGAAATTCCATTATGCATTTTGACCAGGATTTGGTTTACTACTTCAATATTTCTAAACTGTTCTATAAATTCTCTATTCCCTCTGCTATGATCGTGATACCACGTACAAAGCATTTTCCTTTATCAAATTCTCGACAAAGAGCAATAACTCTATATGTAAAACATGATATATCTGCCTTAACTGTGTACAATGTAATTATTATGTAAATCATGAACAAGAACAGACAATAATTGATGAATGTCTAAATTTTACAATAAATAAACAAAAATCGTTTTCATTAGATTAACTTCTTGCTGTATATTTTAATGTCTTGAAAGCATCGGCCATTTTTTAATTGATCCAAAGCCAATGACCTCCAAAAAGTATTGAAGGACATTTGTCTCAATTGGAATATAAAACTCCTCAGACTTAAAGTGCATTATTAAAACAATCAGACGTGTACAATTTAACAAAACAATTTAAAGTGAGGTTAAGTGCAAAACGCGTTTTGTACATATAGTAACATGTGAAATACGTGTTCGTTGTTGTATTGTCAGCTAAAGGCATTAACTTATGTTTTGATTGTTTGAAAAATAAAACCTATTTGTGCCTGTTAAGATTTTTGTGATCTGAGAAGAAAATCACTCTTTTTGCAAAGGAAATTTGTTGATAAAATGTTTTTCATTGTTGAGTTATCAAGTTTGAATCTATTAGTTGATAAACAAATATCAGTGTTTTATTGTGAAGAAACATATATTTTCCGAATTAGTCAGACACAAACTCATTGTATCAAAATGAGGAGAGGTTGTTTATTTATATCCATGTTTAAAATGTTCAAGAATATTTACGTAATACGTAGTTGGTTCTTTAATAAATGTATAAAACAAGATGTATCTTTTTTTTTTACTCTTAGTACCTGTAGTACTTTTCCAGTGTTCCATTCTCGGAACATTTCAAAGTCGTTCTTTTTTTTTTTTAAAGTATGGTGCACAAATTACATGTATTTTCCACAATCATATGTGATGATAATAAATTGAGATTTTCCGTTTGCCCGACAAGGAGCACACGGCGGAAGTGTCCGGTCGACAAGAGATAATAATTGTGGACAAGAGATAATAATTCCTCCATGGCACCTGATCCCAAGTCTGATAATTTTAGAGGCCGATGTTTGCTCTGCTCCAAATTTGCATTGTTTCAATAGACTATGGATTTGATTACTCTTCGTTATCTTCATATTTCATACAACACCCTACACCAGACTGAAGCAGTAACTTATTAATGTAATGGAATTAACGCATTGTTTCCGTTAATTATGAGTATTTTCAATAGAAACTGGTTGTTTCATTGAACAGTCGCAAGAAATCAAAATTCACTTTAAACTTAACTTCTGAAATGTCTTGCAGAACTTGTTTAAATATGAAAACCCAAAACATTATGTATGAAGGATTTTTTTCCCCCAAAAGCATTATTCTTTTGAACATATAAATACATACGCTTACAATATATGGAGGTGTAAATTGATAAATTTTGAAATACATACTGGACGAATGGATCGGAATTAATTTTGTTAGAAAACAAGACAACGGGTTCTGGAATATAATGCCGATTATTCTTATAATTACTTTGTGATTTAGATTTGGAACATTGAAAGAAGGAATCAAATATTTAATTTATTTAGAACCACTTGTCTCCAGTGGACTAAATTTGGAAAAAAATGATTTTGTATTGAAATCGTATACAGAATACATCCGTGCCTTAAATTTAAATAAGGAGGAATGTGGCAGTCAGACGGGTTCGATCGCCGGTGGGCAGACAGCTAAGCTGGTAGAGCACCTGACTAGAAATTCAGGGCACCCGGGTTCGAACCCCAGTCTGGTACGTCGTATTTTTCTCCTCTCCCGTTACACGTCATATATCATATGTCATTAGCATTTCATACGAAGTTTTAATCCCCACGCCTCAAAAATCATTTGATCTAAAATATCCGATTTAGTCATATTTCTATGAAAACAGAGTTTTCAAAACTGGATATCCCTCTGATTCAAAAGGATTGTCCGAATTTCCGCATTAGAAATCAAAAGCAACAGTTCTACTGAATTATTGAAGGATGGAAAATAATTTTGCTTAAACGATGAGGGCATTCACTCAAAGAATATGGGACTTTCACACGTTACTTTTCTAGTAGGTGGAATAACATTTAGCGAGTATTTCATGCATCTTGGAATGGTGGTCTTTATTTTCCTTAAGGAGGAAGTTCTGCACTTCGTGGAGACCAAAAGAATAAGAAAGTTTTCACGCTTATGTGCCAACCAAAACTTAAGTAACAACAGTAGTGATAAACTCTGAATATGTTATTACTAAGGAGCTTGAGTTCTATTCAGTATTATTCATCCTCTGTTTTAATGCTTATTTTATTTCAGAATTTTGAACAAGACTGAATAATTCCAATATTGATAAAATTCATTAATTTTCTGTGTTTTGATTGGACAAGAACAGACTCCAAAAAGAATTTACACATCGATAAATTTTACGGCCGGAACTACTTTCTTCACCTTGTTTCTAGTGTAAACAATATGGCTGCCTCCATGTTCTCGTTGATTCTCTATTTACTTTGATTGTATAAAAGTCGTTTTATTCTCATTGCTATTAAATTAAAAAATATAGATTATATCTAAAATGCTTTTTTAATCACTTAAAATAAAGAAAATATTTTAAAATTTGAAAAAAAATAAGTTTTTTTTTATCGTCTGCATTAGACGTCATATGTAGCCTAATACATGGTACTACATGTAAAATGGAATCTGATGAAAACGAAAGTTTTGAGGCACCCCCAGTAACATTTGAGTTAAATTTATCCGAGAAAATGGATTCAGGAGAGGTTCTTAGTCTTCTAGATGTACTCCAGTCAGATGTCCAAGGTTTTGATGAGATGCTCTTGGATGCAGTTACAAACATACAAGACCAAACTTTAGAAGCAGTTACAGAAGCTGAGCTGCAACCTAGTACTACTGGGGCCTCACACATAAACACAAATTTACAGACTCCACCAGACAATTTTTCAGAGGTGACTACTGCTCAGAGATTTAAGACCTTAGAGGAACAAGATCTGCTGGAGATTGAAACTAACCAATACAGCAACTCGACAAAGAAAAATACCAAATGGGGCATTGGTGTCTTTAATGGTGAGCATATATTGTAAATAACAGTTTTGTTTCTAAGATGCATAATTCACCAATTCAACCCACTCAATGGTCAGTTTTGATATTAGAATAAAAAATCAAAACATGATCATTTATGGATAGATGGGTGTGAAAAATTTAAGCCAAAGAATTGTTTCTATAAGCTATAGTCTGTTTCAAACTAAATCAGATGACTCAGCACACATTCTAATACAGTGTAAACTGGTAGAGATCTAGACTGTCAATTAACAATGATTAAAAAAGTAAATCAATTTCAAAATTCAAGATTTAAAAGAATAAAAAGTAATAATCAACAATATTATTTCAGCATGGTGTATGGAAAGACTGAATGAGGTATTAGACTTGCATACAATTTCTGCACCTGTCTTGAATGAGAATCTGAGAAAATTCTATGCTGAAGCACAGCCAAAAAATTTGAGTAGTCGTGTGAAGAAAATGCCTCAGGAACATGCAGCTGAATACCACAAAAACTCAATGAAAAATGTAATAGCAGCTATCAACAGATATTTGAAAGACATAGGTAGATAAATTGATATTGTGAAGGACACTGAATTTAAAAGCTCAAATGCCATGCTAAGTTCAAAGCTGAAATGAAATATATGGAGATAACGAACAGTATTCAAGCTCAAAAGTCCATTAAACATTACAAAATAGGTGCAGAGCAAACATGGACCTCCAAAACATCAGAGGTTGGATCAGGTGCCATGGAGGCGTGAGCATCCCCTGCCGACCAGTCACACCCGCCGTGTGCTCCTTGTATGATCTGGAAATAACGGAAAAATCCGTCGACAATTCAGTGTGTAAATAATGGCCTAGCAATTAGTATGAAAAACGTCAGTCAGCATTTGACTCAATGATAAATTGTATTTGCTGACAAGGTCATTGTATCGACCATAGAACTTACGAAATGATGACTTTAAACGGGACTGCTGATATTCTTGTTTCATCAACTTGTTTGTCAGTAATTTACCTCGTTTTAGAAATTGTACATACGTAGAGCATGCTCTTGCGTATCGAATCAACTGAGAGATATATACCCCGTATGCAGGTGATGAAGGTATATTGCTGCATAAGTAAAGGAAGTTGACGATTGAAAAATTAAAGTCATCACATTTATCATAAAGCTTGGTTGTTAGATTACCATTAACGTCTTTTTCTAGTAAAATATCCAAATATGAAACAGATGTGTCAGAATCTGTGGTATCTCACTGGGATATATCATATCGACATAAGAATGGAAATAACAATTGTTTATTGACAATACGTCGTCGATTTATCTAAATGTCGAATTGAAGGCCACAGCAAGTGTTTTCTTCTTATCACGTATAAGATTTTGGACAAATTCTGCTTCATATGAATAAGAAAAAAGGTCTGCTAATAACGGGGCGCAATTGGTACCCATGGGAATTCCAATAGATTGTTGGAAGACCTGGTCTCCAAAAACCACATAGATATTGGCACTCAGAAACTTAAGCATCTTTTTAATGTCAACTTCAGAGTACTTGTGTGTACAATCAGAATGTTTTTTAACAAAATAATTTTGCAAATGACCAATGACAAGGTAAGTAAATCTACGAGTTCCATTTTTATTGAAAAAGCAGCTGTCAATGATATCAAAATGTCAACTTATAGCAAGGATTATCAAAACCTACAAAACATCACGTCACATTTCCTAATGATGATCTGATAAAAATTAACACCTACCTTTCAGAAAACAATCCTGTAGGACTAAGACTCAGAATTTGGTAATTCATTTTGTCAGTCGGGGATGTGAATTTCACCACCAATTATCACTAAAGTCTTTGAAATTTCAAAAGGATAAAAATGGCACAGAATATATAACCATTACACACGAGACACATCAAAAAACCACCAAGGAGGGTTAGAGGAGAGCTCTGAGGAAGCACAAGACAAACGTATGTATGCCACTGGTACAGCCATCTGCCCTGTCAAATAAGTGTGACAAAGATGCTCTGCATTCAGAATATCTCGATGCTCATGAAATTTGGTATTCAAATATGCCAGTGAAACCAAAAAGGTTTACTACATTTACGCCAGACATATGTAAAAATTCTACAACACAAAAATAAACAGTACATTCTTTGAGAACAACGGCCATTACAGCCACGAGCGACGCAGAACTGACAGACAGAAACATTATGCTTATGTCGGATCACAAATGTGAAGAGTCTCTAAAATCGTATTACCGTCGCTCTAGCGTTCAACAAAAAAAATTATCAGTTCCGTTCTAGGAAGCGTTGCTGCTGGAGAGAGAAACTCAGGCTTACCTGTCGTCCCAGCTCCTGCTCTAGGCCTACCTTATCCAGTCTGTCCACCCCCTGCATCTCTACCAGCTCTTGTAAACAAACCAAAGGGTCAATATCAATCGAGAGTCCCGTCTTTTAACAGGTTTTGGCTCATATTCAATGTTTGAGTAATGCCACTTCCATTTCAACCAGTGACGCTTTCTGTACTATAAAAAAAAAACATGTCAAGGACGAATACTTAAAAACGATTATGGAAGGTTATTAATTGTATTCCTGATATTTGTTGACTTAAACAATACTAGTTGATGTTTATTGAGTTTGTTTTATTGTATGTTTTCAAAATTAAAGTTAATTTTATCAATGTTCCTCAGGACTGTTTTATTTTCATAGTGCGCAATGTATTCCTACGCCATATACAAA